AACTTAGGATTTTCTTTAAGAAATATAATAACTTCTTTACTTTTTAAGGTATCTACTTCAAACTTCAAATATATATTTCTTATCATTACACAAATGTTGTGTGGCAAGGTCCATAACTCTAGCATGACTATTTCTAGAATTATTCCCCTTGATCTTGGAATTTATGTTAACAAATGTTATTTTTTTACTATAACTTAATACATAATTATACATAATTGATTTTTCTTTTATTTTTTTGTCCTCCTTACTGCGTCCAATATTTTATTAGTCGAGCTTTGCTGTCTCCTGTGACAGCTCTTGTTAGTAATTGCAGGCTTTCTACTGGTCCCTACTTTTCCTACTTTTCCTACTTTTTCCTACTTTTTTCTTTTGATCCCTACTTTGCCCTACTTTTTTCTGAAATAGCCCTATTATCCCTATTTTTTCATTTTGAAATGAAATGAAAAAAAGAAGATATTTAAAGTGATATTTCAGTTGCATTTTCAGTTGCAATTGATGAGTAGTTCAGGTGTGTGTTTGTCTCCTTGTGATGTCCATCCTTGAAAGACTCATGGTCAGAGCTGCATTACTGGTACTGGTACTGCAGTATGTACTGCAGCGATTTTGCAAGTACTGGTACTGATACTGAATTACTCTTACAAAATTTTGCTGCTACACAGGTACTGGTACTGCATTGCTGTCTTAAAAAGGTGGTACTGCTACTGCATTACAAGGCAGTATTTTTGGTTTTGATAAAAATGTCATTATTTTTACTCATAAAGTACAGCTGTAAATTCCATGTATTATTTTATTTTTGTTAAAATTAAGTTATCAAATCTATAAATAATTTGCTGCAATATTCCTTCAAATGTTAACTTAGTATTTATCATAAAAAAGCACCAAAGACTTAAAGTAAAATTAAAATTGAGATAAACAGAGTCAATAACTCTTTTCTAATAAAATATCCTTATAGCAATCTTATTACTTTGTATTTACTAGTCAAAAAAAGAGCAAAATAAACACTAATTAATTACTTCTATTCTAAATAATCCTATTTCAAGTGATATTGTTAGCACCATAAAAAGTTGTTATTTACTTTGGTATAAATTGAACAGAGGTGTGAAAATGTGAAAGGCAACAAAAAGACTGGTGGGTTTAAAATGTAAGATTATTGCATTGTATTACAGTTGACTGGTTACTAAACAATAACATATGACATGAATATATGTTGTAATTATTGTTTGTAAAAAGTATGTTCGTTCATTTAAGTTGTAAAAATGTAATGTCAACTTTAAAGTAAATGATTTTATTTCTTTGTTGAATAATGTTTGCAATTATTATGTCTCCCCCACCTCGGGGGGAGACATATTGTTTTTGCCCTGTCCGTCCGTCAGTCCGTCCGTCCGTCCGTCAGTCCGTCCGTCCATTCTTCGTTTCCGGACGATAACTAGAGTTCCTTTTGACCTACAGCCCTCAAACTTCATAGGATGATTGGTCTTATAGAGCTGATGATCCCTATTGTTTTTGGGGTCAGTAGGTCAAAGGTCAAGGTCACACTGACCGTTGGTCAATTTCTCGTTTCCGGATGATAACTAGAGTTCCTTTAGACCTACAGACCTGAAACTTCATAGGATGATTGGTCTTATTGAGCAGATGATCCCTATTGTTTTTGGGGTCAGTAGTTCAAAGGTCAAGGTCACAGTGACCGTTGGTCAATTTCTCGTTTCCGGATGATAACTAGAGTTCCTTTTGACCTACAGCCCTCAAACTTCATAGGATGATTGGTCTTATAGAGCAGATGATCCCTATTGTTTTTGGGGTCAGTAGGTCAAAGGTCAAGGTCACAGTGACCGTTGGTCAATTTCTCATTTCCGGATGATAACTAGAGTTCCTTTTGACCTACAACCCTCAAACTTCATAGGATGATTGGTCTTATTAATCAACCTTGTATATAAACCTCCGTCATTGCCGATTAACTTGTTCCTTCAAAAGCTTACCCTTGTCTTGGAAAATTCACCAACAGAAAACTGCATAGTTCTAGGAGACTTCAACATTGACCTCATTCAATATTTAGAACATCCATTGACCCACACTATGTTACGACATCGCTTTAAACAAATAATAAACAAGGCTACTACAGCACACAACACACTTATTGACCATATCTACCAGAGAGGCTTGATTGTGAAAACGAGTGGAGTCATTCCAACACACTACAGTTATCATGATTTGACATACATTGAAATTTGAGTTGTCTTTCAATAGTGTAAAAAATCTGACAATATGAACGTTTGTTTCAAGTATCATCAAAATCCTTCAAAGGGTTGAAGAGTTATGGAGCAGACACAATTTCCTTTAATTTTGTTTGTGAAACTATATATGATATGACATTCAAGTGTCAAGTAGACCTTGACCTTGGAACCAGCCATACGAAACATGTACTCTACACGTTCTCTGGATGTGGTGAATTTTTGTTTCAAGTATCTACCAGAGAGGCTTCATTGTGAAAACGAGTGGAGTCATCCCAACACACTACAGTTATCATGATTTTACATACATTGTAATTTGAGTTGTCTTTCAATAGTGTAAAAAAATCTGACAATATGAATGTTTGTTTCAAGTATCATCAAAATCCTTTAAAGGTTTGAAGAATTATGGAGCAGACACAATTTCATTTAATTTCATTTGTGAAACTATATATGATATGACCATCAAGTGCAATTTCGTTTGACGCCCGCCTGCCATACGCTGATTGAATAACCAGGATTTTCAAAATTGAATACCTGGTTAAAAACAAACAGTTTAGGAAGCATCTTCTCATACAACCTTAACAATAGAAACCATCCATAGACAGCCTTCATTGAAGTGACTACCGGGTATTTACATTATCTTATCTCCATTTCCATTCCTGTTTCCATTCACAGTTATTCTCAGCAGTGGGGGAGACATGCGCTTTTTTACAAAAGCATCCTGTAGTTTAGAATGACACTGTGTATTTATTCAAACTTTGATGAATATATAAAAGTATTAGTACTGGTACTTAATTACTTCCCCCCAAAAAAGTACTGGTACTGCAGTACCAAGGTAAAATCAAGTACTGGTACTGCAAATCTTGGCAAGAACTGGTACTGGTACTTAAGTTCTACACCCTTAGTACTGATGCAGCTCTGCTCATGGTGCCTTGGCAAAACATTCAGCAACATTCTGCCTATGAGGTGCCTGTCTTTCAAGCATGGACTGAACTGAAGTTACACACAGCCTTATGTGGTCTTGGTGATGGTATGTTTTGCTAATTCTTAAATAAAACAGTAAGAAATTCCTACTTTATCCCTACTTTTTAACATCAGAAATCCCTACATTGCCCTACTTTTTGGTAAAAAAATGCCCGACTTTTTCCCTAGTTTTTTTGGTAGAGGCAGTAGAAAGCCTGTAATTGCGTAATGTTTCTATTTTTAGAAATTGCATAATGTTTCTATTTTTAGAAATTGCGTAATGTTTCTATTTTTGGAAATTGATGTTTCAATTTTTAGAAATTGCTTAATATTTCTATTTTTAGAAATTGCGTAATGTTTCTATTTTTAGAAATTGCGTAATGTTGCTATTTTTAGAAATTGCGTAATGTTTCTATTTTTAGAAATTGATGTTTCTATTTTTAGAAATTGCGTAATGTTTCTATTTTTAGAAATTGCGTAATGTTTCTATTTTTAGTAATTGCGTAATGTTTCTATTTTTAGTAATTGCGTAATGTTTCTATTTTTAGAAATTGATGTTCCATTTTTAGAAATTGATGTTTCTATTTTTAGAAATTGCGTAATGTTTCTATTTTTAGAAATTGCGTAAAACTGCGTAATGTTTCTATTTGTAGAAATAGCGTAATGTTTCTATTTTTAGAAATTGCGTAATGTTTCTATTTTTAGAAATTGATGTTTCTATTTTTAGAAAGTGCGTAATGTTTCTATTTTTAGAAATTGCGTTATGTTTCTATTTTAAGAAATTGCGTAATGTTTCTATTTTTAGAAATTGCGTAATGTTTCTATTTTTAGAAATTGCGTGTTTCTATTGATCGAATTGCGTGTTTCTATTCATATATATATATACAAAATAGATAAACAAAACTAATGTGACAAGACAGACCAACTAAATTTATAAAAAGGAAACGTTAAGATATGTTCAAACCTTTCTATGTTTGCGTTTAGAAAAAGTAAAAAGTCGAGCGTTGCCCCCGCCCGGCGGTGGCTCTTGTTGGTTAATTTAATAAGAATATCATGTTGTGTTAAAATTAAATTGTATTATCTAGAGGTGTTTGCTGTGTTCATGACTAATGCTCATGTCCTTTATATTTAAGAATCATTAAATGCATGATAAAAGTATTAATTATACCCCATCCCACTCACCACACAAGAGACATTGATTAGAGGGAGGGGGGGGGGGCTATATAAGGAATCCCTGTGCCACCTTACAACTTCAACAGTATCATTGTGATTTAAAACCCCACTCTAACACTAAACCTGCTGATTTTTTTGTTATCGAATTGAAATATTAACAATTCATACATTAAGGGATTTTCAATATAAAAATTGATTGAACCTCCTGGTTAGACTGCATGGATGTGCTGACTGGCATGACTCTATACTATTGGCAAAAGGCTTAACACCTTTGCTTCCAGTAGGTTACTTAAAAGTTAATGGGGGGGGGCTTCAGTGGCCGAGTGGTCAAGGTCGTTGACTTCAAAACATTTGCCCCTCCCCACTTTGGGTTTGAATCCCGATAGGGACTTTGGATTCTTTCATGTGTGGAAGCTATCCAGCTAGCTTATGGAATGCCAGTGGTTCTCAGGTTGTTCCCAGGTGCCCTTCGTGCCTGAAATAATGCATGGAAGGGCACCTGAGGTCTTCCTCCACCAGTTAAGCTGGAACGTTGCCAAATGACCTATACTGTGTTGGTGCTATGTAAAACCCAATCAAACAAACAATAAAGGTAAATGAAAACATTATAAATAAAAGTGAACATGTATTTTTCAGGTACCAGCTGGAGCTAAGAAGCCGGGTGAGAAGGTTTCTACAGAGGGTATTGAAGTTGCCCTTAACCCTGAGGAACTGGATCTTGACACTGCAGCAATGCAGGCCAAGTATGATCAGACATTAAGAGAGCAACAATCACAACTGGAGAAAGAGGATCTCAGTGATATGGTAGCAGAACATGCGGCTAAACAAAAGGTCAGATTGTAATATGATATTATCCAATTAAAATAAATTGTTATGTTAGAAAATTCACCTCTCATGTTTGGAAATATGGTTGTCCTGTGGTTTTTGACTTTATCATTGATTTTATCAATGATTTTGAGATGAACATACTTGTACTTAGATTGATGGGCTGATATATCTTTATTGAACCATAGGATTTTCTCTTAAGGAAGATATCTGATATAAAGTCAAACCATTACTTGCACAATTTCTTTAATGGACTTAACGTCCTTTTTGTAACAGGCCGTTATCAATATTTGAGATATCATGATAAAGATTTGGAAATTTTTATTCAAGATTTTTAGTCAAGATTTATCTGCACAACATTTTTGCACTGGCATTGCTATTTACTGCTGGCAAAGATTCAGAAGTCATACATACAATAAGATTTAAGTGGCATTTAATTGATTACATTTTTAAAGTTACATCTCTAAATATTACTATCCTTGTACAAAAATTTATTTCAAGGTCATTTCATATTTTCATTTCAGAAACGGAAAAAGAAACAGGAAGAAAGTGGAAAAGCAGCAAAGAAATACAAGGAATTTAAATTTTAATTTTTATTATAAAACAGAAAATTTCTGTATGAACTTTGAGGTTTATGATACATATATATACTACATGTACTGAAAGACGGTATACGGTTCACATAGAAGTCTTATTTTATTGTAGCCATTAAGTTCCTGGTCAGGCTAATAATAGCTTAACATTTGATGAATTTTAGTCCAATTAAAGTGACTCGGCTTTAAAAAGATGGTAAAATTTACTGTTTTAAAAAACATGATTGTGTGACCCCACAGAGTTCAGATGTAATGTTATAGAGAATGATGATTTGATTGTTTTAATTGTATGAAAATAGTCATGAATAAGTCATGCTACATTTATTCATTTGATTTCATGTTAAGAATCATTAACATTTATAATGTCATCATCAAAAAAAGTCATGAATATATGCAGTAAAAGCTGATAAAAAAATGGAATTTTATTTTCTGCTCTATTTATTTTTCTATGCCTTTTTTAGCATAATGAAATATATGTCCCTGACCTCCAGAGACTTTGGATTCTCTCTTGTGAAAAAGCTTGCTTATAGAAGGTTGGTGACCCTTCTTAAGCCAGATTGTGCCTGAAATAATACTAGGAGTTTTCCCTACCAGTAAAGCTTGAAACTCACAATATGACATATGAATAATGTATGCAAAACTTGAAACCCAGCAATTAAATAGCATGAAATAATCTTTTATGATCTACAGGTGTTCAAAATCATCATATCACTGTTAAGGCACTGGAAATGTATTGTTTTCTGTAGAGTGGTTTTTGTGTCGCCTCTACGGAGTAGTGGCGACATATAGGGATCACTTCTCCGTTGTCTGTCTGTCCGTCTGTCCGTCCGTCCGTCACAAAACTTGTCCGGACTACCCCTCATAAACTACTGGTGCAATTTTCATCCAAACTTTACAGGAATGATCAGTATCAAGTCTAGTTGTGCATATTGTCAGCATTTTCCGGTTCAATGATTTTTGTCAAGTTATGGCCCTTTAATAATTTTTAATTTTAAAGTTTGTCCGGACTATTTCTCTTATACCACTAATGCAATTTCAATGAAACTTTATAGGATTGATCTGTAGCTCAAGTCCTTGCGCATATTGCAAGGGTTTTCCGGTTGAATGATTTTTTGGCCGAGTTATGGCCCTTTGATAAAAAGGTGTTTTTTTTTCTGTGTGTTGCCAGATACACAATAGCTTGTCCGGACTACTCCTCATAAACTACTGGTGCAATTTCATCCAAACTTTACAGGAATGATCAGTACCAAGTCTAGTTGTGCATATTGTCAGCATTTTTCTGGTTCAATGATTTTTGTCAGAGTTATGGCCCTTTAATAATTTTTATTTTTAAAGTTTGTCCGGACTAGTTCTCCTTATACCACTTATGCAATTTCAATGAAACTTTACAGATTGATCTGTAGCTCAAGTCCTTGCGCATATTGCACGGGTTTTCCGGTTGAATGATTTTTGGCTGAGTTATGGCCCTTTGATAAAAAGGTGTTTTTTTCTGTGTGTTGCCAGATACGCAAAAGCTTGTCCGGACTACTCCTCATAAGCTACTGGTGCAATTTTATCCAAACTTTACATGATGGATCAGTACCAAGTCTAGTTGTGCACTGTCCGTCTGTCTGTCCGTCTGTCACAAAATTTGTCCCAACATGAAATTGGCCATTATGAGGCGACACATGTGATTACTGATCGCTCTTGTATTTAAAGGAAAATACTCTGCTTGTATATTAGAAGAAGCTAGCAAAATGGGTGCTTTAATATCCCTCTATCCTCAATTCAGTCACAAATTAGAAGTACAACCAGGAGCAAAAAAAAAAAAACACACACACACACGCAAACAACTACAAAACACCACGTTAATTAAGAGATTCGTAAAAGCGGACTACATAGCAGAAAATTTCACTAGTAAATTTCCAAAAGTTCCCGGAGTTTATGTGTTTATGGCATTGAACATTTTCCTGTCTTTTTCCAGTGTCTTCCATCTGTTGAGAAGCAGTAACTCATGAAATGCTTTGTAGATTCTTAAAATTTTGCATGTGTTATATTTTGATACGTTTGTTAACATGTACTACAAATTTTACTAAAGTTCAAAACGTTTTTAATTACGGGTCTGTACAGAAACTTTCTCTGCATTTTTATCAGTTCAGGGGCAATAACTCCTGAAAGACTTTAAAGTCGGAAATGATTGCACAGGTCATATTTCCATACAGTGGTCAACAAGAAATTCTCTCTTAGGATCCAAATGACCATTTTTCTGAAATTTCTATTAGTTCATGGACTACACGTATTTAACATATATGTAAGCTCAGAAAAGAAAATTTCACAGAGTCATATAAATACAGTGTTAAATATGTATTTAAAAAAATCTTTTTTCAACGTTTAATTGCATAACTGGCAGGCGTACACACAAACGGACAACGTCAAAATTATATCCTTCAATGTTTTGCCTGCAATGTAATAATAAACGAGTACGAACTAGATATGAACGGTGACCTTATATGATCGGATGTAATGTGATACCACTATGTATATATGATTAAAGCAAATACAAGACAATATCTTCAAATCAAAGGTTAAGTATTCAATTAAGATATATTTATTGTGACATGTATATGGGTAATATTGATATTAACTATTGAAGATTATTTCGCTCACTAAGTAATAGTTACTAAACTTTGTCATAGTTCAGCATTTAGCTACTAATGCATATGAAACACGTAACTTGCTGATCAGGATAAATGCTGAATGAAATCAATGAACACAAATTCGGAATCGTGATATAAAAATTAAAGCCATGTTATGTACTAAAGTTTATGTATTTAGAACACCCACAGTGGAGCAAACGTAAATTGTTAAACTTGTCGCTCGATATAAGATTAAGGATAGTCTTCGACGTTACTAATATTCGTATTGTTTTCTTTCTACCAGGATATCTATGTCGCTCTTTCTACTTTGATCTATCTATTCACATTCGTATAATTTTCACTACAAAAGTGGTTCACAAACTGACATTTCTCGCAGAACAACAGGTCTGTCATCGAAGTGCCCTTGTACACTTTGGACGTTTACTTCGTAAGAGAAAAATTCTTGAGCCAATTCTTTGTATTCTGACAATCTTTCTTTGACATACTTTTTGTCATCCTCGGCATACCTGAAGAAATATTTTTCATCAATTGCAAGCCATTTATTTATGATAAAGTTTTTGTCATCGGCCAGCGTTCTCTCGCCTCGGGCAGCTAACATGTCGATCACACTTTCATCAAGGTAATGCTTGCCATTTTCAGTGTCTAATTGTAACATAGGAACACTCCTGTCTCTCTTACCATCTTCCGTTAGAGGATAGAAATATTCCGGATGGTGGGGATTACCGGCATAATGATTATGAAGGGTGTTATCCCATTCTACTTTCTCTGCTTCTATTTCCAACTGTCTCCAGTCGATAGAACCATCTCCAAACATTACAGCATATCCCAGGACTTCTCGGTGTGTGTATTTACTTAAATCGTGTCTGCGGATAAGATCGGATATTCTGTCCGAAAATGTTGTACCAATTTTATTCAGAAAACTGTATGTTAGCCGTAACCATTTTCTGTGAGATGTAGCAACTTTTAGATGCCCTGGTACTTTTATCTGGATCATTTCGTTATAAACAAACTGGGCATCTTTGTCAAGAAAACCTTCTTTGGTCTCTCCGTTCACCAGTTTATTGACCTCTGCTATGTTTTCAATTTCTCCGATCTCATTGGGCGCTCCTACACCAATTTTCCCACCCAACCAGTCTGCTATCATGCGGGTGAGTGCAGTCTGGTACACGACATATTCCACTTTTAAGAGTGGAACTTCCGTTCGCTTGGTAAATTCTACACCCTTTCTGGGTTCAAAAAGTAACTGGAAAAAAATAACAAAGATTTATACTGACATATATATCGACATAAATTGCACAATATGAGGAATAATTTGTCCACTTTGACTTGTAACGTATGGTAAGCATGTCATTGTCGCAGCTAGCGCTAAACGGCTTATAGTTACATTCAAATGCTGCACAAATGAACCACTTAACAAAGTATTATATCATTATAATTAATGCGTAAAAAACTAAAATCTTTATTAACAAAAATAATACCAGGCTTTTCTTTTCATCAAACGAAAGTCGGATAACTTTTGTTAATGATTGGTCATAATTTTAAAAAAAATGGCTAAATTTATCTGGACTTTCGAGTACGATATTTATCTGAATGACTTATGTTCGACCTTTCATGTACGAATATGCTATGAAAATAAAGGTATAACCTTTGTGTATTAATACCCTACATACATATGTTTACCCTACCTACACAAATAGTAAGTATACCTTGTCAAATCAAGTTCAAATTTTTGTACAAAGTAAGTTTCGTTATTTCTAATATAAAGAACATAAATTAAAAAGGTTCACTAACCTTGTCCATATTGTGTCAATAAAATACCAAAGTTAAGTACGAGTATATCACTTATGTGATAAGTACTGAGTATCGTATATAAAGGCCCGAAGCCAAACAAAACTACCTATCCGTTCGTTTAAAGTCCTTCATTTCTTGTGAACAGGGATGTTAAATTCATTTGACTGTTAAAACAGTGCCGAATTCCAAAATAATCAATTTCCCTGACGCTTATCAAATGTTCAATAAAAATCTTTGAAATCGATATAATACTAAGTATTAAAAGTATATTAACTCGATATTGCTCAATATTGCACATAACGAGCACGTACACGTGTTCAAAAGAAGAAATAATTTTTTTTATCCCATCAAGAGTTTTATCTTTATATTAAATAAATATGTATGATTATATTTGAGGGAAAAAATAACAAACAAAAAAATAACAGAGTTCAATTGAAACTTATATCCTATACATTAAATATCTTAAACGGGGTTGCTTTATCTTAATATTGTTAATCTAAAATAGGACGAAGCTTACTGATAAACCCTTAACAAATCTGTGTTATGGATTTTCCCTGCTTTGCATTTGATTCAGTTGTTTAAGTTTTCAACTAAAAGGGAACTACCAACAGTACAGAGCTTGTTCGGACTGCACGAATGTTGTTTTGATGATGATTATGAAGAGTTATCAAGAAAAAAGACCATTTTGAAAAGTTTGATTACATTTTTACTTTCTTTTTAGGCGGGAACTCCGGAGACAATCATTTCCTTTGCACTTTTGGGTCAGGCCTATATTGATCTGAATATCATATGTAATTCGTACTAAAAACCCTCGATGAGTTTGCCGAACTTTTACATACTATTTATTATACGCCCACATAACAATATAGTATGATGTGAGTGTATGTCCGTAATCATGCAAATCATGCATATAATGTACGAAGGTTGTATTATATTGAAAAATAGTATATGTCTTGCTGCTGTAAAATAGTAATGCATTGCATACCCGATAATCTTATGTAAGTTAAGACGTTATTTAAAAAATTCAAACATAGCATGTCTAGTAACCAAAACTAATGTTATCCAGTTATTTTTTTCAGTTCACTAATGTTGCTAATTCGATTTTTGAAAGCTTTATTTTCCTTAACATTTTTATTTGGTCGTTGATCTCATTATTATTGTGATTTATATGGCATTTAACATGACCCTTGATTGGAAATAAAAATTATTCTATTCTATTCTATTCTATTCGTACAACTATCGAGACAGTTTTCAACTGTTTGTCTTGTATTTTGGTGTTATGGAGTGTTTTTAATTGGGTTATCGGTAAAAAAAACACTGTTTTGAATGCAATGCACTACAGTTTCAATACATTTTTAAGAGCCGAACTTGATTATAAAAATATTACGCTACAGTGATATCAGTAACGCCCAATACGATTCCCAGAAATTTCTTTGCCCTCGCGTACTCATTGCACTATTAAAAGTACAACCTAATTAACATCAAATAAACGAGAGGTTTTCGAGAAATAGGGCTTGTCTAATGCAAGTGGAAACTCCTATATGAATCATTGATTTTTTTTTGAAAACGAAAGCTTATACATTTAAAGTTCTGAGAAAGACGTGGGAAATACTTATGAATACATCTTCTTTTTTTTTACTACTGAATACATTTATTCGATTTTAAGTCATAGAGAGATATAAAGGTCACATATCGATGACCCCAGGCATCCTTGCTTGTAATAGAATAGTCATAGACGGGCAGCTGTAAAGGTATAGGACTACCTACCTCATCCAATGACCCGGAGGTTGTTCGAACCACAAAGAACGGAACTTGAAATGACCCTAATAGGGTTCCGTTACAAAAGGTAAGTATTTCACAGGCAGCGAAGATTCTAAAATTGATAATTTGATAGTACGAGCGTAAGTGTACATGTCTGACCTTGGCAAAAAGAACATCTCTATTAATTATAAGTCAGGTACATATGTTTACCAATTTTACTGTGTTGTACCAGAAAGAAAAGGAGTGCCTGTAGATTTTCGAAGTCCGTTGGAGTTGTTCTGTCTTTCAAAACTTTATATGCCGCACATTTTTTCCTTTTATCTGTTGCAGCATTAACCTGTCCTGGCACAGTCTAAAAGCGGATACTCTGAAGTTCTTAAGCTGCCTGCACATATTGTATTTTCCGGTTGCGAAGGTAAATAAACCACACACACACACGCATTCACGCACGCACGCGCGCGCGTACGCACGCATACACCAAACACACACATACACCATAAGCTACAAGTTGAGAAGGTGCTGCTGGTGTTGCCGAAAGAGATTTTGTGAAATTATCATAACTTACGTGATGCATATTTTTGCTTGGATTAAGCAGTATTTATTTCATTAAGTTCAAACATATACAAATGTGTACAACAGAATGATATAATAAGGAATTGCAAAGGAAGTTGAGAGACTTATAATTATATCTTTCTTGTGAAATATAAAAGTAATGCATTTTATAATGTTTACAATATTTACTTCGGAGAAGATAATGCAAAACTTTAAAATACGTTAAATTGTGCGTAATTGGCATTTACAACTGTTGAATAAAGTTTTCAACAGATGAATCCCTGAATCGTTTTATTTTCATGTCTATATTTTTGAAATGGTATATTACATATACATGAATATATGTCATGATTGTGTCAGTTTATATGTGCACATTTCACTCATGAAAAAATAACATATAGTGTTCACTGCGAATATAAGGCCAAATTAAAATTATCCTAGCTGTGACCCATGCTAGTTTGGATATGGTAAGTCGATTAATATTCTTTTATCCAAAATGTTTGTTGTTTTTTTTTCTATCAAAATGATATGCAGTCCAATTTATTCAACATAAATATCCCAGTTTGTATATTTACAATTAAAACGCACGAGACAGATATAAAGATGTGATTCTCAATGGCACTCTCTGCTACCATGTTTAGTAAAAAAAATATTTATTTATTTATTTATTTAGGCAATAAAATTATTTGGGTAGCTGTGATTTTTGTGGGTAGGTATCGGAAGGGGAAACACGCAATATTTTATTTAGGCCTTATATAATTATTTTTACCTTCTGGATCGGAACAATATAAGATTTGTTATAAGAGCTTTGTTATAAGATTCTTCATAGATACTTTGTTTCTATAACATGTTGATTTTACAAAAAGGGCATGTAATTGCGTTTTATCAGCGCAAAATATAGATACAAAAGGTGTCGATTTTCTTAAAATTAATTTGAAAAAAAATATCTTTACCTCTTTTAATAAAACATTTTCTCTAAGATGTTTTTGTTCTCTTCTATTTCCGATCAATTTTTCTAAAATTATACTTTTTTAAGCGATAAAATCAAACATTCTAGTAACATAAGTGTCACTATTTTTGTGAAAATGAGGAATATTTTTTTATAATATATAAGGTGTCTTAGTAAAATAATTGCTGAATTTTTATAAAACAAGACAAACAAAATGTAGATTTTATATTTATTTTTCATCTCTTTTACACCGATTTCTAACAAAATCTTACAACCTGCAATCTAAACAACAGTACAAAATGAAATAATTACATGCAATAATATACAGGTGCGCTTATAATTATATAAACATGGATGCTAAAATATTGGTTTTAAATAAATGCAAATAGGAATATAAAATATATAAAGACGCTCATAAAAATGTTCAGTTAAGTCAAATGTCTTTGTACGCGTTAGTAAAACTGAAAGCAATAAAAAAACACGTACATTGTGCAAATTCAGTCTTAAATATAACAAATATCTGTAAATCTTATAAAAATTACTTATTATATTATTTATATTATTTATTAACGCCATCAATAAGACTACATAATTTTATAATTGTTTCCTGTAACATTCAGCAAAAATGAATAATTATTAAAACAAATAAAGACATGAAATAAATTAAAACAACTGTTTGTGTTGCAGTCAAGAATTATTTACTCATTTCACTAGTCTGATAATATGTTTGTCTAACACCGAACATAAAGAATCTACATACAATGTATATGTTTACTAAACGATTTGACGTAGATGTTATAAAGGGTACAATAGAAACAAAATATCAATAATTAAAAGAAATTAGAGGGCTTTAATAAGTTAAACGTTAATATCTGAACACGAGGTAGACTTGTTTTTACACTGTCAATCTTTAAAAAATTTAAACACATTTAGTCATTTATACAACTTTTGTTCCAGTTTTTGTAAGAACTTGGTATGCACAATTATTCCATTGTCATGAATTTAGTCCAAGGGTTTAAAGACCACTGCCCTATCATCAAAGTGACCATAAAAGCTATCCTCATTTTCTACGTCTGATAAGAAATCTTCAGCTAATTTTTCTACCTTTTTAAGACATTCCTTTACGTATACTTTGTCTTCTTCAGCATATCTGAAAAGGTATCTTTCTTCAATTGCAAGCCATTTTTTGACATTAATTTCTGGATCTTTAGCAAGAACTCTCTCTCCGCGAGCTGCTAGCATATCAATTATACTTTCATCGACATAATCTTTCCCATTTTCAGGGTCTAATTTCAACATAGGAACACTCTTGTCCCTTTTACCATCTTCCGTTAGAGGATAGAAATATTCCGGATGGTGAGGATTACCGGCATAATGATTATGAAGGGTATTATCCCATTCTATTTTCTCTGCTTCTATTTCCAACTGTCTCCAGTCAATAGAACCATCTCCAAACATTACAGCATATCCCAGGACTTCTCGGTGTGTGTATTTACTGAGATCGTGCTTGCGGACAAGGGCTGTCATTTTGTCAGAGAATGTCGCACCTATCTTTTGGAGAAATTCGTATGTGAGTCTTAACCATTTTCGATGTGAAGTAGCTACTTTAAGATGTCCTGGTACTTTTATTTTCACCATTTCGTCGTAAACAGGTTTTGTCTCCTCGTCCAAGACGTCTTTTAGTCCATCACCATTTACAGCGTCATTTACTTCTGTGATATCATTTTTTACGGATTCCTCCTCCGGCGCACCAACACCGACCTTGCCTTTCAGCCAGTCCCTGACCAAACAAAATAATGCAGTCTGAAATGTGCTGTATTGCACTTTTAACAACGGAATCTCTGATCGTTGTGTGAACTCTACACCTTCTCTAGGCTGATATAACAACTGAAAAAAATACAAGTAAAAGTTATTGTAAATAAATTGAATTGAACTAATTTTTTTTCTACAATGAATGACTTAATATATGGTTATGAAATGCTCTTCTGAATTTTTTGATAGCTAAACATTTTAGATATGATAAAAACTGCGAGTTAATTAAGAGTGAACAAATATTAATAAAAATAAAAAAAATCCATCTCGTACAGTTATTTCTTTTTTCTTTTTCTTTCTTTTTTTGTAATCATAAATGATCCATTCATCCCATATCATTTTTTTTAAATATATCAAATGCAATAAAAATATTTAAATGAAAAAAAGAATGAAATTACCGAGTTCATGGTATCTTTGATATAAATTATGATGTTGTTTTTTATATAATATATATTTTACTCGTTTTATTTATTTGTATAATTTTCAAGAAGAAAATTTGCTCCAACGCATATAAATTTTTTTTCAAGCTATTGTAACTTGCAAAATCGGAGCATTTAATACTGTTATACGGGAAAAAAAATCAGGATTTTCCTGACTAAATTTTTGTTAGTAGATCTATAAATAGAAGTAAAAAACCGATACGTCATACAAACAATTAATATTAATTTGCATCTAGTACTTTTTATCAATTTATTATGAATTAAACCGATTGAAGATAGTACTCATGATAAATATGTCAATACTTGTGACGTCTTAAACTTTCAGAACAGTTTGTTACATTTATATGCAAGTATGCGTTATGCTTTTATGATTTTATTATACATGTATATGTATCGATAGGCAGTAACTGCTGCACGGTTTATTATAAATTGTGAACACAAGTTACTTCCCCTGATAATTGCTATTATATAAAATGTTAGATGGAGAGTTAATAAGTAGATGTCCTCGTTTTATAAACTTACAAAATTCTGGTAAAAAAATTGCTATGATACTACAAACAATTAATATTAATTTGCATAAAGTTTATGACCATAACCTATTTGGTTATTATAAAGGTTATATAAATGTTAAATGTATTAAGATTTTCAGAGTATTTCTTTGATACAAATAAAGTTGAACACAGTGATTAAAAACAATTTAGTCTTAGATTTTTATCAATTGTGTAAAACTACGCTATCATATGAAAATTATTTAAATGTTTATACAAAAAAGCCCCTAAAGATTTCTTGATTTCAGCGCACGCACTTAGAATACAACAGTTACTGGAAGGTATGGTCAAAATAGATTATCACGCAATGAAAGATAGTATTTTTGTTGTAATAATGTTGATATCGAGGACGAGTACCATTTTATATTGATATGTCCGTGTTTCCAAAAAAAAAAAAAAAGTTTAGTAAAAAATAGTACTATAAAAGACCTTCCCTGAAAAATTTATTGAATTGATATGTAATAGTAATAATAAATATACTTCTTAATCTGGCAAAATATAAAAAGGAATCATTTATTAGAAGGAATTCTTTTGTTGATTCTATTTAATTGCAGGAATTATTTTGTTAATTCTATCATTTATTTATTAACATGCCAAAATGTTCATCATCAAAAACGCGATATATATGTCAATTGATTTCAAATAACATTTTAAATTTAAGTTTGTGATGTTAAGATATTATATATTGATTAATATTTTGAATCATTTTGTATGAGTATGTACTTTGTACAAGTCAAAATAAAATAATATAGTATTTTTTATAAATGATAAGTTTTTAATTGTTTGAATTATAAACGTTGTTTGAAACACCCCTTTTATCTTTTACCTAAACCATAATATCAAATATTGATTTGGTTTATACAGAATTTATTTTAGTCCGATTGTGTAGGAAGCTATAAGCTTATAGACACACTGTCGAGTCCGTTCCTGGAACCAACCAGTACTGAGCAATATGTGTAAAGTTTCTTGCTCAAGGAAACAAGGACTTGCGCCTGACGGGGTTTAAACCCATGCGGTTAGCGATCATTAAATCACTAGTCCGACGTGTAACCACTCGGCCATGCCGCCACAAGGTCAGCCACAGTATATCATGGGGATAACGGCTGCTATACGGTCAACCGATATATTCGAAACAGATTATGGAAATATTGATTTAATTTTTAAATAATCCTTAATTATAGTCGTGTGTGAGGTAGGAACATTTCCTGACACATAACACAATGTTTCACTAACTAGTTTTTGTAAGTTATTACTGTTCTTCTTCAAAGTATGTAATAAATGGAACGAATCTGTGTTTTGTGCACAAAAAATAATTAAACACTAGCCCGTTTCATATCATTATTGCTTCCCGAATTTGGACGCCAGAAGAAAATATATATATTCTTTTTCTTAGATATTTAGAATTATTTCAGTCTGAACTATTATAGGTACATCAGCGTCTTTAAGAAAAATGTAACAGATGCTGCGCAAATGCAAATGAACACTAATCATGTACAGAAACGCATCTGTGACATAAATATCTCGTTATTGCCTAAAATAAATTGGTAAATTAGACACAAACTCAAGAATCTTCCATGCTCCCTACTGAGCTAATCGAAAAGCTGACTTAATAATTGATTTTGATTGTAAACATAAAGCTAAAATGATTACATGATGGGCGAACAAGCAGACTAAAGACGATGAAAGTAACCTAAAGGAGTAATTCCTTTAAAGCATTCTGGCAGAAGTAGTGTTCCATTTGTTTAACAATTGAAATTTCTACAAAAATTGGAAAGTTAACATAAGTCAAAAGTTTGTTTTTTAAGATATAAGTTATGTGTTCCATTTTCTTCTTCTTCAGGATAACCTAGCTATAATGTCCGCATGTCGATTGTTGGAATAGATAGTCTTTCGAGTTACATATAACCCTTGATACTTATTTCCCTTTGTTCATTTAGTTAGATATAAAATTCTTTTAGTAAGTACAACAGGTAGAAGCTAATCCGCATGGATTTTCCATTGGTAAATCATTTACAAATTTCCTCTCCTCTTCTTACTTTAAAACTACCATGTAGAAAATCTAGCGGTTTTTCCTCTTCGGCAAATATACGCATCAATGCGCTTATATAAGTACTATATTTGCGAGTATCATTGATATAACTATTAAGATATCATTATTATTAATGGAAAAATAACAAGTAGAAATCCCGCAGTAAGCCTTTGGTCAGGAAATGCCTAACATGACATCTATATATGCATTGTCATATCTGTAAACAATATTTTCAACAATAATATAGGAAGGTATATGACGTCATAAAGATAATATATGATAAAATTTCAGATATGATTAGATCCCTACTTCTAAAGTTTCAAAAAAAGAGAAAATGAAATAAAAATAAGTATATATATTATATATACTTATTTTTATTTCATTTTCTATTAAATATAATAACAATGTAGGGTGCGTTATAAATGACAACTGTATACATGTATCTGTGTATGTGCACGTTCTGAAACATAATGGTGCTCACATTTCGTGATTTACTTATCATGTGCTAATTAGGAAATTATTAAAAATCTGTGTATGTGTCAAGTTAAGAAATTTTGATAATTTTAGCCTCACATAAAAAAGTATTACGTACATATATTCTTAGCTCATGCATATAAGCCTAGGCAAATAGAAAAAAATGGAAATTCCACTGGTTAAAACAGTATGTATTAACCCAGGTCTGAATATAGAATAGGCCTAATTATTCTTTATAACTTAAACATAGCCCATATATCATCAGGGGTGTATGTTAGTAACAAATATAACTGGTATCAGGTTAAAATAGTTCCCGTATACGGTATCACAGAGCTATATAGTCTCTGACGGTATTCTAGGAAAAGCTTGTGGAAAATTTCTGAGGGAAAAGCTGATAGTTAACCATAACTACTATATATATTGTATATCTTTGCGTTATCCATATAATAATTCTAAATTGATTTTTACAAGGGACATAAACATCTGAACAATGGACAGTATAGGCCTACATTTTGCCATGCTTTGCTTTTATATACAATAAAATCCGTAGTCACACGTATCCCATGTTTAAGGTCCTCTCGATATTGTATCATGAAAACATAATAGATCTATTTTTTTCAAATTATTTAATTAATTGAACACATATTATACTTAGTCTACTTGACTGTCAAAAGATCTTCATAGTAGCCCTATGAAAGCCTATTTATAAATATGCTTTTAAAAACAATTACAGTTTTTGGCATCGTTCATAAAAATAAATGATGCTAAAAGCATTTTACATTAGATTTATGACTCTAAAAAAAATAATTTTTTTTTCATAAAATTTATTTTTGTCAATACTTATGATGTTTGGATGATGTTTAAGGGTTTTTGGTTGTAGAGGGGGAATGGACGTTCACCTGTGTGATCTACATGTACTTTTGAAGTAATTTTCACAATGTATTATTTTCACGGCAGACCCGGAAGTAGTAGTGTTTTTCCTTTTTGCTGCTGAGGAAAAGAGAAATGTCAAGTTCTGATGAAAAATACCGAAAACTAACCACAGAATACGCTAAAGTATTACTTACTCCATGAATTAAGCGTTATTTTCACATTTCCCCAATGACATGCACTTTACAAATATATTTCTTTCAAAGAATTGCAAAATAGCGGTTATTCACATTTTGCTCCTCCCACTTATTTTGAAATTTCCACTTACAAACTTTGTAAATAATGTAAAGGCAGAAAGGTTGATGCTATTTTGCTCTTTTTAAAACTTTTTAGAGCTTAACATATATAGTCATGTGAAAGGCTTGCTACAACAAAAAGACAACATATCCAGTAAAAAATTTCAGTTTTGCAAAACACAGGATTTTTAAGTTTAAGCACAATATAATGTTAATATGAAAAAGGCAAAGCCTCAAAGCGAGCATGATTTTCTTTAACCGTGAAATAGTATAAAACAATCGTTCATTTTTATTTTACATTTTCCGTTACAAAATTGTCATTCGGTATTTTAAACACTGCTTCCGTTTATTCTGGTTCCCCGTCGTATTATGCTTCCCATAAAAGTGCGTAGGACACCAGACTACGCTTCCGTTTTCAATCAGAATACCTTGGCTTTTATCGATTTCTTGTAATTCGAAAAGTTGCAATGTGTCAGTTCAGTACTTAGGACGAAAGTTTTCAAAACCATCACTATCTAGCAGGTATTTGCGTTACCGTAAAGTTCACTTTGTGAGCAGGCCCTTTGGGCCAGCTCTTCGAGCTCACTATAAAGCATAATAAAGGCTACTGGTTAGGCAGGCCTATCAACAACTTTGAATTCCCATTTAAGTCAATTTATTGCCTGAAAAGAACAATTTATAACAAATAATAACTGTTAACAATTTGATATTTTCTAACACCAACTGATCTCATTTTAAATTTTTTTATTTCCCTCATATCTATCTGGGATATTGAAAGATATGGAAGGTAATGGTTGATCACATCCTACTTTCAACACAGTAACATCTGCATGACAAAAACATCTGCATGACAAAAACATCTGCAAGCAGATGTACGTTT